CCATCGGCTGGTTGGCAGCCGACGGGTCTAGGGCCGCCGACCGTCGGTGTGACTACCCTGACTCCATGGCATTATAAAGGCTGCGATGTGTTCCTCATGGCCAATGGCCTCAAGGTTAGCTATCGCAGTGCCATTGATCGATGCGTGTGACCGGGTTTTCATCTGAAGTCCCACGGGGGCCCGGTAGGTTGTACCTGTTGCAAGGACCTGCTGGCCTCCCAAATGTCAACCATGTCCGGTATGCCTGTCGTCGTCCTCAGTGTGTGGACTTCTTGACTGCTGTAATATGCACACATTGAAACACACATACGGAATAATGGGTATATGAGGGAGGTTAATTTTCATAAAAGATTGGCAGTTTGCTTGAAAAACGAAGTGCTTGTTCGGTTTGCTCTGTTTGCTCTGTTATTCTGGAATTGTCACAGTTGTGTTCCTACTGTGCTTGGGTGGCATTTTGTTTGCTTTACCATTAGTGGGACTGCACGTCTATCTTCTCTTTTACCATGGATTATGAACTGTGTTGGTGTTGCCTGGCATATGAATACTCCTTTGTTGGTGGCTCAGTGCTTTTCTATGCATTTTGTGTAGCTCTGTTGCCACTTGGTATGGTTCAATGTTGGATTGGCGATACAACTGCCTGGTGTGGCTGTTGGAGTTGGTGGTGCCAAAAGATTTTATTATGTCGTTCAGTGGGCTTGTGTGTAGCCAAGCTTGGGTAAGGTGGGAAACACCTACTCCTGGTTGTAGGGAGGTTGCTTTCTTTTTGGGCAGGATCTCCTAAGCCGCTTTTGAATTGCATTTACGACAGCTATATTTCAGTGAGGGAGTTTTATGTCCTGCCAATTTGCTGTTCTGGATAAGGGGTATGGCATTTGCAGAGCAGCAGGATGGAACCTTTCTCAGCAGACTCGAGGGTTTTTATACTGTGTAACAGTGGGATTTGTTCCGGTAGGCTGCACCCATACAGCCTACTCTGTGCGTTCTGGTTGTCAGCGTTTGTTAGGGCATATGGGGAGTAATGTGATGTGAGTGGTCCACCTTGTTAGTGTGGTGTGGAATTATATTTTTAAGACAGTCCAAAAAGTTGTTCTGAAGCCAGGCTTGCCCTGCGTCAGTTTCAGCTGTGGAACTTTCATCTTCTTTCATCTTCTTTCATCTTCTTTCGTCTTCTTTCATCTTGTTTCATCTTCCTTCAGCATCTTTCTTCTTCCTCTTCCTCCTCTTCCTCATTGCCATCTGCATTGTCTTCTTCTCCCTTGTCCCTGTTATCTTGTTCCTCATCATCATCGTCCTTGTTATCTTCTTCCTCGTCGTCCTCGTCCTCATCATCTTTTTCTTCCTCATTGTTGTAATCCTTGTCATCTTCTGGCTTGTCGCTGTCGTTGTTGTCCTCGTTGTCATTCTTGTCTTCTTCTTCCTTGTCTTCTACTGTTTGTGGGCTAATGTTGTGTTCTTGTTGTTTTCTTGATGTCATCTCTGACAGTTATTATTTGCAGTCAACCGTCCAGCTGAGGTAGCAGAGCGTGGCATATCTTTCATCCTGTCCTTTTCAAGACGGCTCGCAGCATGTGAGGTGAGAATGCACTTTCCCACGTTATAATGTGCTTGACCGAATTCTGGGGACCTTTCTGATATTACAAACATAACCATTAAAATAAGCTGAAAAGGTACCCCTGTTTTATAATTTTGATCCTGGGAAGTTCCCTGTTGATATGTATCTGGGTGTCAACATGTCCATACAGTGGTCATGTGCATGTGACACACCTGAGCTAAGTTGGGCATGACATTTTGACAGGATCGGCTGTAAGAATTGTGTAATGTCATGTGTGCAAAATAGTCAGTGTGCTTCTAATAACCATAACGGACAAATATTTATTCACGCATGAGATGGGCTTCACAAGGAATGGAGAAGCACCGACAGCAATGATCACTGTGTGGGCACGTGCGGATGTTTTGGAATATCTTGGTTGCTGTGCACACAAAGAGAGGATCTATCGAGGTGTATGTTATGATTCTGGTTCTGTTGTCTGAAGACCGACACTCACTCACATAGAGTCCCAGGCATGCCCATACATACACAGAAGGAAGGGGAGAGGATAGGAGTATCACACCGCATAGGGAGAGATAAACACAGCGGAAGACTTGACCATGCGATATGACAGGGTACACTGAAAGTGCAATTCACTCCACTCAATCCTCACAACCAGTCATAAAGGAAAGCCGAGTAGATCACATCCAAGAAACAATGAAACGATGATAGTCTGAACCCAGTATCAACACTGTTTATTAAACTCAGAGTCTCGAATTGTCAGGATAACCTCAGAACTATGGTGCGCTGCTCAGAGATGAGCAACGCTTCACTCCCCAACCCTGATGAACCGCTAATACTACCCCTGAGTCCCTGAAACGTCAAGCGCCACCCAGATACAGCATCCAGAGGGACGCGCCACCCTGAAACAGGCCTCTGAGGTCAAGCGCCACTCAGAGGATGAAGAAGAAGACCAGTGCCACAGTATCTGATGATGACGAAGTGTATTGACTTCCCAGGTGGAAGTCTGCAGCAGCGCCACCTCTCCTGACAAGATGATCTCTGAGGAAGAAGCTGCAGCTATGGCTGCAGCGCCACAACTCTGTAACCCTACTCCGGAGGAGGGTCCAGCAGGGCACCAACTTCTCTCGCCTCCAGCAGACCTCGAATAGCCCAGACCTCTGCACAGCCCCGCGTGCTGACAGAGTACAGCGCAGGTCCCAGCTATGGCTGGCGCTCCGCAGGTCTGGCTATGTCCATCTCCCTCAACGCTGAGCCGTCACCACTTCCAGTTCACGCGTTGCACAGCAGCGGTGTACTTGGTACCAACTGCCAAAAGCCCTGAACCGATGTGCCCATCCTATCTATAGTCTACTCTAGCCTAGACTCGACCTAGACCGGACTGACTGACCGACCGGTACCGTTTCTGCTTCGGCCTCTAGGGCCTCTCCCTACACGGCTATACGTTATAGGACCGGCAGGCCTGTCTGTCCTAGGGTAGCGCGGGTCTGCTATTCGCAGATTGGTTAGCTGCAGGAAAATCGGTTAGTACGGGCCTATATTCTCCCGAATTTGCAGATATGTCCCTCTAGGATTTCCCTACAGGCAGGTCTCTCGGTTAGCCCTCAGCCAAACAAAAATGACGAATCTGACCTACTTGTAATAACCCTGTTCAGCAGTCGACCTGGGGCCCAAACCTTAGCCCCAGGCCACGCAGTCTGTGGAAGACTGCGCCGGGCTGTGTGACCAACACATGCCCCGGCCTGAGTAAACTGCGTACGGCTGTGGGACCGAACGCCAAGACTTAGGAAAATCAAAGGTCAAAGTCAATTGTCAGTCAAAGTACCATGCCAGGTCTTGGATCAGATTCATTCACTTGTTGAGTGCAGGTACCCAGACTACGACCCAGGCCAAAGAGGATACAGTTGCAGATCTATCCAGACCCTCCAGGCAGGGAAATCTGGACGGCTGAGGTTGGATACTACCGGGGATCAGACCCCGAGTCAACACTATAAAAGCATTGACTCCTTGACTTTAGGGGAATTCTGGCTGTCTTGCGTTGACGCTGTTTTCAGCGCCTGACTCTCGCAGCCTTGGTTTGACGCTGCGAGACTGGAGGAAGGCCGGCATTTGTTGACATGGTGAGTTGCCGCTGGCTGGCTTGCTATCTGGCTGGCGACTGTCTCTGATCTGCTGACGTGGCAGTTGCCGCGTATTGCTGCTGACGTGGCGCTGCCGCTTGTCGTACTGTCGGGTCCTTACGACCGGCTATTGATCATCGGCTTCGTTACTTCAAGGAGGGGTCGTGACTATTCGGGATGAGATCAGGACTTGTGCGGTGTTGTGAATGCGTACCTGATGTCTTCATGTCGATGAGGCTCCAGCGCTAATTGATGTATTGATCGGTGCCACGTGGCACCCGGAGGCTGAGTCTCTAATTTGTATTCAGATCATTGCTGATGTGGGGTTGCTGTCGTAGGAGGAGCCCGGAGGAGTGGGCCTTATCCCTCTCCCTTGTCTAATCTCCCCCACCTCTCTTCGTCCGTGTATGATTATCTCACCCCCCACTTTCTTACTGGATACTATTGTCGTTGAAGATCTATCATTGGTTCGATAATCTTGGCTTTCAGTGTCGACATTGTATTCACGACTTGGGTTCATTGCAGATTGGTATCGGAGCATTCATCCTGATCGCGACCTTGTCGCGACCGTGCACGTGCGAGAAGAGTGCCAGGTGGCACAAGGTAAGTGGAAGGATATGGGATACCTGATTGACGACGAAGCTTGATGACGAAGGCCTGACGAAGTACCAGCTGGGATCGCGATTGATCGCAATCGCGATCGAAGACGTGACATCTTTATTGCGACCTTGATACCTGACGTGGCGAGTACATCATCTTGGTCGCGATCTTGATACCTGATGTGGCAAGTATATCATCTTGGTCGCGATCTTGATACCTGAC